TATATATAAAAGGGTAACTCTCGTGGTCGAGAGGGTACGATGTTCGCCGCCTTTCATTCAATAGGTCCCGGGTTCGAAACCTGAGAGCGACGGAAAATGTTCTTCTCTAAAGTGTTCTCCTCTCACCTCCTTCCCTGCTCTCTAGCCCTAACCATGTTCTGTCGTCTTCTTTCGCCCCCACTTTCTGCCCCCATCCCCCTCCCCTTTGCCCTCCTCCTCTGGGCCCCTGACTCCTTCTGCAGTCTTTATACTACTACTCCTTGGCTCCTTCTTACTGCTGTCTTTCAGCCACACCCCTAATCTTAGGATAGGTAAAATCAAATACCAAGCCTTCTCGGATAAGGGCGAAAAATGTCGGATGTCTCGTGTGCAAGTTGTGCACGTTAAAGATCCATTTGTGGTCCAAAATCGATCAGATTAGGCTTCGACCGCCACCCGGGCAAAATTCCTAATTAAGTCCAACCAAATTGAAAATGTTGAATGTGTCCCGTGTGCTCATAATAATGTCCTTATGCAGTTGGGTGCGGGTTAAAACACTTACCAAAACAAGAAAACAAAACAACAACAAAAACACAACACCAGCAACAAAAAGTATATAAGAGGACAGACAACTCATGACTTTTGAGGCGATGGGAACATCAGGGAAATTATTTTTTAAAAAGTGATTAATGCAGTAAGCTCCTACTTTTGAGTCTGTTTTCAACAAAATCAAATAATATACTGAAATTTTCATGGAACTGTATGAATAAGTCAGCCTAGCAGTTTTTGCCAAGTTTTAGAAACTGTCGAAATACAGATACTCAGTTGGACATTCCTGCCTACATTTATCAAAGGGCACTGGTTAGTATACGGAACCGGAGTACGATGGGATCGACCTGGGTTCAAACTCCCCCAAAAGGTACACGTATCTGCATTTGTGCATTCTGGAAGTTTTTACTTTTTTAACGTTCTCCTCCCACGTGGTTTTGTCATGTTTTAGACCGACGTTACATCTGAGGTCCTCCCTCTCTATGCAATAATATTCTTCCCTTTTTATTTTAATGAAGGTATCGTGTACGTCCCAATCAATACAGTTTCGATCATTTAGGAGGCAGGCATCCTTCAACCCCTCCTGCCAATGCCAATTCGGGCTGAGAGAAAAACATCGTCCCAACAAAAAGACAAATGCTCAGCAAGAATTCTTCCCGATACGAGAATCAAACTTGGGTCTTCTCATGCGATGGCAAATCGTCTAATCGCTTCACCACAGACGATGGTTGTCACCAGTCTTGAAAGAAACTGAAATTCACTGATTTTATTTTGCTGTTTTGGTAAGCCTCAGTTTCAGCATCCCCTCACCTCATCCCACCCTCCCAACCTACAAGAATAGAATCAAAGACAAAATATGTGTACAGAATTTTATTTGCAGAAAATTCAAAATCAACATCTCTTTTATTCCTGTGATCTAAGCTCTGGTTATCATTCTAATACATTCTTCTTCTACTTCACCTTCTCACTGACTCACAAACTCACTCATTCGTTCTCTCACGCATACACCCACACATTCACTCACATACTCACAAACTGACTAATTCACTCTCTCATTCACTGGCTCACAAACTCACCCACACATCTGCAAACTCACTCACATATTCACAAACTAATTAATTTACTCCCTCACTCACTGGCTCACAAACTCACTCACTGACCCACAAACTCACTCTCTTCTCCCAAACTCTTTCACTCACAATCTTCCATTAAGGCCTCACGCACATACATATTTCATTGCTCATGAGCATCTGTTAAGAATGAACATGATAGTTCTTCTCTTAATTACTCTCATAGAAAATACAAGCAATGTTGTTCATGGTTCGGAGTTCAAATCTAATATTTAAATGTGTAGACTTTAGATTTTCCCATCTTACTCCTAGTGATGTGGTCAAACCATTCGCTCTGAGCCACCGTGAAGTGATTTTTCCAGTCTCCGACTTTGCCTGAAAAGAAAAACAACAACGTTTACAGGAATAATTAAAACACAAGTACTTTGTACTGTAAATATTGCTTCAGACATTGGTAGCACTATAGTAGTAGTAGTAGTAGTAGTAGTAGTAGTAGTAGTAGTAGTAGTAGTAGTAGTTGTTGTAGTAGTAGTAGTAGTAGTAGTTTATATTGTTGTTGTTGCTGGTGTTATTTGTGTTAAACACAAAGGGCGTGTGCTCTGCAAGAAACCCAAAACTCTTAGACGAAATACTGTTGAGAATAATAATATGGTCTCTTTTAAGGACAAGCGGGCTAACCTGGATTACGGGGGTTTCCAGAAATCTTGACCTACAACAAAAGTGGACATTGACCTACCTATAGGAGAAGTTTGGTTTCATTGGTGTGTATATTTGTTTGGTTATGGAGAAAACTCTCCTGGTCTTTTAAAGAAATTAAACAAGGTTCCAAGAACTGTAACTTCGATTTTCTCAAAACGGCATTTTCTGGGATAGCCCCCTTGGGCTTAGAAGCGACCATATGTAATGTTAAGTCCAGAGTAAGATGCTGTTCATTGCAGAATGGGCACAGGAAGCCACCGTTCGTTTACGTGGAAGACATCACAGCCACGAGCCCTAGTACTAATAATATAACCTCTTTGGGATGAATCAAACTTCTTTTTTCAACGTAAAACGGTAAAGAGCCTAGCTTTACACCACAGATTCCGGTAGTTGTCTTACATGTACCGAAAACTTCAGTAACAAACGTCAAAATTTAGCGTTTACCTTTCCGGTACATAATGGGCCCAGACTTGTCTTTGTCTTTTATATCCTTCTTCTTTTGGACGTTCTCCATCGTGGTAGCATTTATCACTTTCTGTAGAAAGTCATCGTCGTAGTTTTTGCCCAAAAACTTGGCCAGTTTTCGAACCTCTTCTAGTGGATTCTCCTGCAATGATATTGTCATTACAGCAATGAAATCGATCATGTGGAAGAAACTCTGATATAATATCATAATCTAAATTTTGTCATATTTTGTGCAAAAAATTAGAGGTGTTATCAGAGAGTAATATACCAAGAGAACAAAGAGGATAAATAAACACGATATAATGTTTAAAGAGAAAGAAGGACACACACACACACACACACACACACACACACACACACACACACACACACA